GATAGATACGAATCGGTTTGGCGGTTTAAAAGTTTACAAATTTTCAACATAATTTAATTGTGTGCGCACTTCCTAAAAAAAAAAAAACAGGGCATAATTCAAGTTTGCATAATTTAATATTCAAGTGGGATAATTCAAGCGTGCATAATTCTGGTAGTGGCATAATTCAAGTGTGCTGTGCATAATTCCAGTGGGCATTTCTTAAACAACTTGGGCAATGCAAAAATAACCATGTGATGAATTGTTGCACCGAATTCCATCCCAACAGCAGCCAGAAATCCAAAAAAACTTGGTCAAATGAATTCCAAATGAATTCATGTGACCACAACTTGGTCAAATGAATTTCATCCCAACAGCAGCCAAAAATGAATTGTTAAACAACTTGGTCAAATGAATTTTTGCATGAGGATTCAGGAATACAGAAGTGAGAAACCAACAGCAGCCAGAAATCCCAAAAAAAAAAACAAAAAAAGAGGAACAGCTTTCTAGAGCTCAGCCTCTTAACAGATTTCATTTGACCAAGAATTATTATTTCAAGGATTACCACTTCTGAATAATCAAGAACATTTGATATTTCGGTTAAAGAACTGGGACATCTAAAGCTTGCTCCCAAGTGACCCCAAAACTAGTATGCAGGCTGAAAACTTGATGCTAAATAAGACCTAAGATTTCTAGTTTCGGAAAGCAATTAACACATAGTAGGAATGCAACTATGTATTCCAGAGGTGGGAAGGGATTCACATCCTTACATTGTGGAAATTATTCCCAGGTAAATTAGAAAACTCCAGACAGAAATGGCTTCTTATAACCCAGTCAAGGACATGCATTTAAAATCTCGCAGTGGTGAATCGAGAAGACCATAGCTAGGACCCTTCAACTCATGTTTCAGCCTATATTCAAACCCAGTCCCTATTTGAGTAAGGCTTTCCTTTGATTGCTGAAAAACCTGGGGCTAAAAATAAAAGTAAAAATGTATATTTATTCAAACTTTGAATCTCAAATCTTGTGTCATTTGGAAACCAAGAGAAGATAACATCCAACAGTGGAGTGCATATCATTTTAATTTTCACTATAAGAAACAACATAAAACACAATTTTTTTATTTCATTTTTGTTTCTTCTCCTTTATCAGCGATCAACCCCACAATAAATGAGGCGTTAGAAAGAAACCATAAACAGAACTAGCATATACTTTGTGTTTTTGGAGGATGCATTAACTGATGAGCAGGGATGTATTCTTGATTTTATTAATCAAAGCAAGAAAGAACACATATTGGAGCCTCTCATATGCATATATCATTCAACTTACAGTCATTATTCGTCTACGCTGCTACAAGTAAAATTTGGACAGAAACAACCAGCAAACAGATCTGAATTCTTGAACCCATTATTCAAGAAAGAACCACAGAGATTCTTGAGCTCACTGAATTACAATGAAAACACTTCGCAACCACTCAATTCATTCCTTCAGTTCCTATTGTTCACTATAACTCTTCAATATAAGAAAGTTCTTCACGACTGTAATCAACATATGCATAGCTGCAATTAGAAACAATATGAAAGCACATGGATACACAAATTATTTGTTCAAGTAATTACAATACAACAATTGCAATCTAATTTTTCCTTCATAGAAAATAAATAAAACAGAAAAAAAAATTAAAAAAAATTGCAGTTTAGTTTACTGGTTGATTGCAGCACCGGAATCAATATGAAGTAATTGTAAATATGAAGGGTTTGTGAGAGAAAACTTGCTAGTCTTAGATGTAAGTATGCACAAGGGCAAAAGACACTCATAAATCATAGAAGTCAATGTTGTTAAAACCAAGACGCAGTCTTGTTGCATTATATTCCCTTTCCACTTAATTCAAATAGTATAACAAACTAATACAGTAATCACAGGGTGTTTGATATCCCCTTTAACTGAATTACCTCATAGAGTCTTCCATCTAATTCAGAGGCCCACGATTGACAATACAGTCATGACAACAAAAGTAAAATCAATGCTAAAAGGAATTTTTTCAATGATAATTGACAACAACAAAAGTAAAATCAATGCTAAAACGAGCCTAGAAAAAATAATAATAAAAGAAAATAAAATAAAAATGGAAGGAAACCAACAACAACAAAAAAAAAAATAGTAAACCAAGACAGTTGCCATCATTGGATTGCCAACTTGCCATTTAAAAAGTACTTTTCAGAGAAACAAAATAAAAAATAAGGTTCTTGAATGCTCTATATAATTTAAATGACCTTTTACCTTAGAGATATTCTATCATGTACTTTTCAGTTAGATTATATCACATTCAGGGTCGGCCCTAACTTGGGAATTAAAGATACCTCATATTGGTGCAATTTTTGAGAAATGAGGTTAGCATATTCTAAGAAGTCGGTTTCAGACTTGGGAATTAAGTTGTCAACGGACTCCTCATTGCCACTCTCTGTAAATAGTTCTTCACTGGATTTAGGATCGCCCTCGTCAGCAATTCTACAATAAGAGAAGCAATGGTACAAAACATTAGACACATTGTTACAAGAAATAATGCCAACCACGGAAAATTTAGACTTCTCAACTTCCAAACTCGTGAAAACAGAAATGAATGGAGAAGAAACGAAAATGGAAACATTATGTGGACATACAAAAACACACTACTGCTCAAAATAATGGAGTTCAGAAACATGAACTGACAAAGAAAACAATGATTTACATAATAGTGTAAGCATTGTCGCAACTCATTAACATAAAAGAACAATTAAGAATTATCAATGGCTAAAACCAAACAAAATAATTCCCAATAACGAATTCCAGGAGAACATTTCGAGTTCACAATCTATCAGCAACTCATTAACATAAAAGAACAATTAAGAATTATCAATGGCTAAAACCAAAAAAAATAATTCCCAATAACAAATTCCAGGAGAACATTTCGAGTTCACAATCTGTCAGCAAGTGGCTCCATGTGATGTTGTTTATATAAGAGATGTACAAAGATGCTAAATTGCTAAAACCGATTTAAGTACTTGTTAAATATAACAATTACCAAACTAATATTTCAAGTGCACAATTCATATGCAAGAAGCACCATGTGATAAACTTAACGGAACAGACAACATCATACCAAAAAAAATTCAGAATTTCATTTGAAATCCAAACTGAATTTGATAAACATGTACGATTGGAATCTCATGATATATAACAAAGACCATTTAAGCACTACAGAATCAAAACCTTGGCCTTGATTTATTGCAATAATAAGGACAAAGGAAATAAAAATATTAAGACACAACTACATAAATGAATTATTTAAGCATAACTACATAAATTGTCCCCCATGCAATGGATCTGGAAAGACAAAATCAAACTGCTGTTCCTAATAGTAAGGAGAAAGAAACCTTCTCTTGGTTGTTCACTGTGTCTTACAAGGTGACACAGCTGATAATATGCAGGATCTTCCTCCCTTAATTTCTTCAGTATCCTCATCAGCTTTCTTGGCATTTCAGTATCACGCTCACACAGATTAACCTGATTTTCAAGATTTAACCCAAAAAAAAAAAATGAAGAATGAATACAGCATCAGGGGAGGTCAGTTACAGCATATAAGAAAAACAGCAGGAAAAAAAAAGGCCTTCTAAGTATCGCTGGATGTACTTCACAAATTTAGAAGAGTCCATGTAGCATACAAAGCAACTACAGTCTATGTGGCATAAAATAACCTGAAGAAGAAGGGAATAAAACAAAGGAGAAAAATGGAACACAATTCAAACCACTATAGTAGTATCCTAATTCAAAAGCAATGGTCTCTTCCATCCCATAGCAGTTTTATCTGTAGAACTATCTGCATAGGATCCTGCCTTTTACCATTGAAATGAACATCATTACGATCCGTAGCCCACTCAAACTCAAACTGACTGACACTAACACATATAAAGCAAACTGAAACATTCCCTTCATACACACCTAGCATACTGAATCCTACATGAATTGCAAATACAGTAAAGTCCTTAACTCTTACATTATACCTTCTTTAACTTCCTTCCCACATCTTTAGTACTATTATAGTTTCTCATGTTTACTCAAAACTTCAAGAATTTTTTCATTTTGAAGGTCCAAGCTATATATAGTGGTGACACATAGGTTATAAAAGCTTATTCTAGTCTTGCCTTGCATCATCGAGACAAAGCAGAATTTAAATCCCTCAAAGCTTAAAAAAGGCATAGAAAAAAGGTGCACATCCACAGAGTCTCAGGAGAACACATTATATGAATTGTATGTATTTATCACATTTCATTAAAATTCATACCCTAAAGGAGAAAAATGAAATGGAGATTGAAAAGGCAGCACACAGATATATTCCAGAATGAACAAAATCCCTCTTTACCTTTTGGTATACCAGTGACTATTACTGTTGCCATATCTCCAGAATGATAATCCAGGAACTTGTGAAAGCAGAGATTCAATGACCCCTGCCGGAACTATTTTGTTCACTGTCCCCATTTCATTTCCCATTGGTTGACTATCAAAATCTCGCCAAAACTTAATAACATGGAGACTCTCCTCTTTAGTTGATCTCTGCACAACAATTCTGGATGCATAACCCTTCTCTCTCATTTGAAGGCATATTTCTGAGGGATTGTTTGCTGTAATACAAAACCATATACAACCAGCCCCTGTCAGACAAAAGTTTGTCAGCAATGGGCAATATTTTATCAATAACACTCCAACCTGGTAAGTCCATTTTGCCCAGGACAAGTCCCATTTTCCCTGGTCAAGACCACACAGTGCGACTGGACCTAAGACTCCAGTGTTCCATGTCTCGTAATGTCCACCAACATTCTTCAATGATGAATATAAATAATGTCAGAAAAGAAATACTCTAATTACTAAAAGTAATAGGTGTTTACAGCCTATTAAAAAACTCAGGTCACGGTTTGATTGAATAAAATCACTATGGTACACAATCACTTCAAAATTGGTAATTACTGAAAAGCTCTGATACACAATAATTTTTTAGTGCTACATGTTCTCATCTCACCTAGAGTCCATATACTTGCATAATTCAGTCAATATAGTAGAGTAACCTAAGAAACAATATTAAGATCGGTCGAGGCCATATTTAGGGTCATTATGGTACTATCATCAAGACCCTATCATCAAGACTGTCCCCAAAAGTAAATCCATGTACTCTCTCAAGATCTGCACAATTAATCATATAATATATAATTCAATTTGGCAAGAGATGTGTAAATGTTGGTGCATATAACCAAAAAAGGAGGAAAAAGAGAATAAAATAAAAATTGGTAGCATGACTAACTACAAAGCACAAGAAATCAAAATTACAGTCAGAGACAAATAATGTGAAGATGTCCATCTCCATATTTATAACATTAACATCAGTTTTATATATTGATAACATCCACTAGCTCCCAGTGCACACTGTAGTATCTTAACCAGAGAGAGAGAGAGGGAGAGAGAACTGCACAAAGACATAAATTTAGGAATCCAAATCCCTACAAGTCAAACAACTACTAACATGTGAAAGTTGGTCAATCTATACCATCTTTAAAAATGAGAATGCAAAAACCATCAATATTTGGAAACATATACATTCCTATTCATTTAGATTTCTGTCATTCCATCATTATGTTAGAGAATGGAATCATGTCACAAGGAATGTGAGCCTAATAATTGCTGATACTTCCGTAGTAAGCTTTCAAATATATTGATTCTCACAGTAAACAGAAATAACAAAGTCCAAATCGTTGCAAAAATGCTCAGCTGCTGCAGAGATCCTATTGTCTCTGGAATTGGACCACTGAAACCGCAACTAACCAGGATTCTGAGATGCAAGTAGAAGTAATTGGTTTGTAACGGGGTACTGACCTTAGTAATCAGCAGATTCAGCATAGTGTAACAACAATAAAAAAAAAAAAATTTACAGCCTTGATAACTTAGTCAAATTTCCAATTGTTTGAGGAAGATATCTTGTCAACCCAGTGTTGAATGATAGATCCCTATATGCACAAGCTGATAGTCAGAAGTTACTTTTAACGATTCTTATGTGGAAGTAAAGAGGAGAATAAACAAAGACATTTCCAAATAGCTATTATTAATAAAGCAGGGTACACTGTCTAGGTAGAGTATAGAAGCCTCAGTTTGTTTCAATACAAATGAAACCTAACAAAATTGAACACAAATGAAGGTTATGTAATTACTCCTACTATATGGTTATGATATAAACAAAAAACCTCAGTTTCAGACACATTAGAACAACATACCAATAACAGAAACCTAAAGTCCACATGAAAAACTTCAGAATCAAAAATCCAAGTGCTCTGTAGTCAAAGCCCCTAGTTTATTTCTATTGAATTGGAATAAACTCACTATTGAAATAAACTTCTATTGAAATAAACTCCATCACTGAATACCATCTTTGACAACTCACTAAAATAGTTTATTTCTATTAAAATTTAAAAAAATCGGATATTCACTACAAGAGAGATTGAAATCGATCGAACCTTTAGACAAAATCGAACTGCTTGAAGCTCGGTGAGACGGCGTAGAGATCAAGGAGAGAGAGAGAGAGAGAGAGAGAGAGAGAGATAAGAGGCAGGAGAAACATCGTAGGATTAGGGTTTGATAAGAAGATCAATCATGGAATAGAAGGAGGGGTGGTGTATGTACCTGAAGGATGAGGTCGTCGTAGATATCAGTGATCTTGTTGTAGGATTTGGAAGCCATTGCGTCGCTGTGGATCACTCACGGTGGTGTGATCTCGGCCTCGGACTCGCTGTGGATCACTCACGATTGCGTAGCTGTGAACCTTTAGAGAGATTTGGGGATAAGGTAACAGAGGCGCCGAAATGATATAGTTTAGAGGGAAATTTGAACATTGGCGAATTTGGGAGGGAGATAAAACATTAGGTGCTGTTTGGTTGATTTTTTTTTGGAAAATATTTTTTTGAACTTTTGGTTTTTAATTTTTTAAAAATTGAGTTTTTTATTTTTTATTTTTATTTTTACTTTTAGAGTGTATTTTTAAAATTTTAAGCATTTTTTTAGATTTGTTTAGATTTATCTTACTTAGATGTATCAAAAAAGTAAAATATTTGTCAAAAAATATTTTAAAAAATTAATAAATACACAAGAATACAAAAAATGTAATGATTTCTCAAAAAAAAATATTTTTAGTACGCAGTGAATTTTTTTAATATTTTTTCACAAATATTATACTTTTAAAGTGTATTTATGTTTGGTATATCGAAATTTTTTTAAAAACATTAGAATATAACATTTAATGGAAATAAAAAAAATACGGAAAATAAAAAATTTCAATTTTTTGAAAAGTGAATACTAAAAATCCAATCCAAACCAAAGATGAGTGAGAGAGACAGAGAGAGAGATAGAGAGAAGAGAGATGAGTGAGAGAGATAGAGAAAGAAAAAAGATGAGAGAGATAGAGAGAAGAGAGATGAGCGAGAGACAGAGAAAAAGAGACAGAGACAAAGACAAGAGTGATGTGTAAGAGAAAGAAAAAGGAGAAAGAGACAAAGACAGAAAGAAATAGAGAGTGAGAGACAGAAAAAGAGACAGAGAGAGATGAGAGATGAACGAGAGAGACAGAGAGAGATAGAGAGAAGAGATATGAACGAGAGACACAGAGAGATGAACGCGCGCGAGAGAGAGAGATAGAGAGAAAAAATATGAACAAGAGAGACAGAGAAAGAAAAGAGATAGAGAGAGATGCGAGAGAGCGAGAGAAGAGAGATGAGCAAGACAGATAGAGAGAAGAAAGATGAACGAAAGAGACAGAGATAGAAGAGAGATAGAGAGAGAGACAGAGAAAAAAAAGAGATAGAGAGAGAGCGAGAGAAGAGAGATGAGCAAGACAGATAGAGAGAAGAAAGATGAATGAAAGAGACAGAGATAGAAGAGAGAGACAGAGACAAAGACAGAAACAGAGACAGAGTAAGAAAGAGAAAGAGAGACAGAGATAGAGACAGAGAGAAAAAGAAACCCATTTCAGTTTTTGACTTTTTCCTCTTTCAACAACAATGGGCTTAGAGAAAGAGATGAGTGTGATTGAGAGAAATGAACGATTGAGAGAAAAGAGAGATGAGTGAGAGACAAAGAGAGACAGAGAGAAAGAAAAAAAGCGAGAGATAGACACACACAGGGAGAGAGAGAGAGAGAGACAACTAAAAGAAATCAACAAGAGATAGAGAAAGAGACATAGAGAGAGAGAAAGAGAGAAAGAAGAGTGATGAGTGAAAAAGAGACAGAGAGATAGACAGATAGAGAGAGAGAGACACAGAGAGATAAGAGATAGAGACATAAACAGAGAGAAATAAGAGATGAGTGAGAGATAGACAAAGAGAGAGAGAAAGAGAACGAAAAGAGATGATCGAGAGAAAGACATAGAAAAAGAAAGAGATAGAGAGAAGAAAGATGAGTAGGAAAGACAAAAAGAGAGATAGAGAGAAGAGAGATGAACGAGAGAGATAGAGAAAGAAAAAAAATGAGAGAGATAGAGAGAAGAGAGATGAGCGAGAGAAAAAGAGATAAAGACAAAGACAGACAGATAGAGAAGATTGATGAGTGAGAGAGAAAAAAAGAAGAGAGACAAAGAGAGAAAGAGATAGAGAGTGAGAGTCAGAAAAAGAGACAGAGAGAGAGGAGATGAACGAGATAGACATAGAGAGAGATAGAGAGAAGAGAGATGAGCGAGAGAGACATAGAGAGAAAATAGACGAACGAGAGAGATAGAAAGACAGATGGAAATATGAGAGAGATGAGCAATAGAGACAGAGAGAAAAGAGAGATGAGAAAGAGCGAGAGAAGAGAGATGAGCAAAAGAGATAGAGACAAGAAAGATGAACGAAAGAGACATAGAGAGAAAAGAGATGAGAGAAGAGATAGATGAGTGAGAGACACAGAGAGAGAGACAGACAAATAGACAGACAGACAGAGAGAGAAGAGTGATGAGTAAGAGAGAAAAAGAGAATAGAGAGAGGAAGATGAAAGATAAAAAAATTTGTGAAATTAAAGTTTTGCCGACCAAACTTTTGGTCGCGAAAGATAAAAAAAAAATTGTATTTTTCTTTCAGCGACAAAAATATTTTAGTTGCCAAAACTATATATACCACGACCAAAATAATTTTTAGTCGCTAAAATTAAGGTTTTGCCGACCAAACTTTTGGTCGCGAAAGATAAAAAAAAAAAATTGTATTTTTCTTTCAGCGACGAAAATATTTTAGTTGCCAAAACTATATATACCGCGACCAAAATAATTTTAGTCGCTGAAATTAAGGTTTTGCCGACCAAAATTTTGGTCACGAAAGATAAAAAATAATTTTTTATTTTTCTTTCAGCGACTAAAATATTTTAGTTACCAAAACTATATATACGGCGACCAAAATAATTTTTAGTCGCTGAAATTAAAGTTTTGCCAACCAAACTTTTGGTCGCGAAAGATAAAAAAAAAAAATTGTATTTTTCTTTCAGTGACGAAAATATTTTAGTTGCCAAAACTATGTATACCGCGACCAAAATAATTTTTAGTCGCTGAAATTAAGGTTTTGCCAACCAAAATTTTAGTCGCGAAAGATAAAAAATAATTTTTTATTTTTCTTTCAGCGACTAAAATATTTTAGTTACCAAAACTATATATACGGCGACCAAAATAATTTTTACAAAATAATTTTTAGTCGCTGAAATTAAGGTTTTGCCGGCCAAACTTTTGGTCGCGAAAGATAAAAAAAAATTTGTATTTTTCTTTCAGCAACGAAAATATTTTAGTTGCCAAAACTATATATACGGCGACCAAAATAATTTTTAGTCACTGAAAT